GATATTATCGATTTCCATTACAGCCACTTACTACACAGTCATATAAAGGGGGAGGAGCGCGGACTCCTTTCCCGAACAGCGGCTGGTAGTCGAGCCTTAGTGATACCAAAATGAGATAGAGTGTTCATGTTTTATCATTGCTGAGAAAGAACGTGAGCTGCTGAAGACGGTAGTTTGTCAGTGTTCAGTCCTCTTCGTTATTAAGTTACCCAAGCCTGACCAGCTGTACAGGCTATGACGACCTCGTCGCATGATAAAAGGGAGGCAATTTCGGCCACAAGCTGTCAAAACATCACGATTTCTTGAACGCCTTCAGCTATGCTATAACTCTTTAAAAGAAGTCGACCGTAAAAAAAAGTACTTTGCCGTCGTAATAGATTAACTATGACTTACAATTTCGTTGTTGGAGCCGACAGATACAACTTTTTTTCATAACTTGGGAGTAAACCGAACGCTGTTTTAGCAAAACGTTTTAAAACTATTTTCGTTTATAAATATATCAGACAAACAGGATGTTTTGCCAATTGCGCCGAGAAGAAATTGCTCGCTTTGACATTTAGCTGTATTGTTATGCAAAAGATTATGGTAAATTCGTAATGAACCTGCCAATATGCAGAATAGCCGTCGAAGCTTCTCGCTACAATCGGCACTCGCAGCAACTCGGCGAAACAGTGATGGCGGTCTATGCGGTCTTGATAATCTTCCTGGTCTCATATGTTGTTAATAAGATCGATGCAACCTCGTATGCAAGTCTTAGCTCCGCCGATGAAAACTTCAAGCTACAATGGACCTACAATAGCAGCAAGTTTATATTCAAGATGACTTGCAAAACCACAGGCTGGTGTGCTGTGGGATTCACCACCACTGCTGATGGAAGAGGCATGGTCGATTACGATATAGCGGTTGCTGGGTACGCTTCTAGTGCGGGTTATATTGATGTAAGTTGTATTTTCGTTTTTATATACGTTTTTAGCAGAGGTAATTTCGTAAGATGTTTTAGCAAGCCTCTCGCTTCGAACATGCATTCAAACTCAGCCCCTTAAACACACGGCCGGCCGACGTTTATTTAAGAACGTTGACTTTTAATTCAAGAACGTATGATGAACCAATGTGACCGTCTTCACCTTTAGCGAAAAATGTTTTAGTATCTGGTTAGGTGTAGAGTGCTTTGCACCATTTTTTCTTTTTTCCGTGAAAAAGTAGCTGTTTGCAGTTCCTATCAAACTTAAGCGTCAAATTCTTCTCATGTCGTTTTATCATTGGCAACACTTCACTATGGGATTGACGACTAGAAGTATATTCGCAACTTACACGAAAGGACACGGTTTTTGTTATTGTTTAGATTTTCTTGTGGTCGTTAAGAATTCACGTAATCTGGGATTAAATTCTGCCAAAACATGACCGCATTATCTTCATACGCTATCCGAAAAACACTTTTTTATAATTACGGGAGAATTTAGTTCCTCATTCTTAAATTGAAAACACGTTTGTTAAATGCAGTTTATGTAATATTAGCAGCTTGCATCTCCGCACACAGGGCTACAAAACAATAATGCAGTTTTCCGTGGTTCCTTGTTAAGAAAAACAATGGATTACCATTGGAATTAAAAACAAAACATGAAATTAAAAAAAAAGAAAGAAACAGACAAAATTAACGGTCTCAGTCGATCAGTCACGAAACTACGCTTCGATCACTTTGCCTTCCAAAAACCATCGCTACCCTGTAGTTTTCACATTACAAAATCTTGCAACCACTTTGCAACCTCAGACATCATTTTTTCTCGACTGGAACTCTTCGTACATAAACCTCGCCTGGAAACCGCGACGTCAAATCGGCGCGAAAAATTTGCATACTAGTAATTCACATGCACAGCTATTTTTAGTGTTGCTCTGAATGGACACGGAAGATTGTCTGCGCGAGTTCGAGACAAATTTCATCACGTACACCGCCGAATTGATTGCGTTGTAGATGAACAAAATTGTCATCATACACGACTGCGTTATGCAAGGACATCGCATCTTAATGGTGCCGGTCTTGCATTCAAATTTTGCGAAGTCGTTAGAAAATGCACGGGTAACGTACATAAATGAAGGGTGCGTTCCTTCAGGATGATCTGTATCAGGATCAGTGATCCAAGATCACTCGGATCATGGTGCATCAATGGAACCGATGAATCCACTCTGGTCACGGATTCATTGGTTCCTTTGGTGCACCATGATCTGAGTGATCTTGGATCACTGATCCGGATCCAGATCAGATTTCAGGCTAAATCGCTCTTGGTCACTCAATACTCAGAATTCAAATTAATTGTTACAAATTAACGCGATTGTTTTCTGAATTGTCCTGTAGGATCGTTGGAGTACCTCGACAACCCTGCCTTCAAATGATACAGAGCAAAACTTCAACCTCATGATGGCAAGTGAACAGGACGGACAGACCATGGTGGAGTTTTCCAGAGACGCGCTTACAGGCGACACTGCCAATGATGTGCAGTTTAAGGTATGTTTAAACTAATGAAAACATTTTAGAGAGAAAAAGGAACGAGGCCAGAGAACTTGACGAGCTATTAAGCATTTGGAAATGATCAAACTAGTGTTGAAATAGGTAAGTTAAGAGAAGTCAGGAGCTCTTCGGTTAAGAGAAGTCAAGAGAAGAGCTCTTTTGAGAAATAAAGAACCGACTAATGGGAACATTTTAGAGAGTAAAAGGAACGAGGCCAAAGAACTTGACGAGCTATTAATTATAAACATTTGGAAATGCTCAAACTAGTGTTGAAATAGGTAAGTTAAGAGAAGTCAGGAGCTCTTTGGCTAACAGAAGTCAAGAAAAGAGCTCTTTGAGAAATAAAGAGCCGACAAAGCATGGCTTTGATTAGAAGCCAATTGACGACTTTAACGGATAGAGGAAGCATTGCCGCAAGTGAAAGTGGCTTAGCTGCTGTCGTGGTGTTCTCCAGAAATGCTATTACGGGAGACAATGCCGAAGATATGCAGTTTATGGTACGACTCCATCCTAATGCAAAAATTTTCATATTATGGAAAAGTGCGAAGAAAAATTATTGGTATAAGGCCTATATGGGGGATTCACTCTGTTACCTTTATAATCTTTTGTAGGAGTTCAATCGTAAGTTCTCCCTTACAATGTTACACGTTACGTTTTTGCACGAATTTTTCATTTTAATGTAAGGAAAACTCAAGCCCCCTCCCCTCTCCCCTTCCAAAAAAGAAATAAACGAACAACGGTCGCACATTTTGCGCTGTGTAGCAAAAGTCTATAATTATAGGAGTCCAATCTTGCGGGCTCCTTAACAACGTTACAAGTTCTTTTTTTTTGCACGAATCAAACCCAAACCCTAACTCCCACAGTGCCTCACTCCACACAGGCTCCAGTTGTTCAAAGGGTAGATAAATCTATCCACCGGATGAATCGCTATCCAGTGGATAAATGTTCACAAAACAAACCGCACTATCCTCTGGATAGCGATTTATCCTGTGGATAGCGTTATCCACCTTTCGAACAACCTGGGCCAGGTAATTAAATGATTATCGGCGATTATAATG